TGCCAAGTCCTGGGGACACAGGGACAGTGCTGTCGACCCTGTGACTGTCCCTGGAGTAGGACACAATCTCTCCTGCCTTGCTCCTTTCAACAAGGCCCTCTGTGTTTTCAAACATGCCCTGGGACCCTGCCACTCAGAGCAAGCTGGGGTAACGAACAGGGAACGATGACAAGGTCTCAGAGACCTCCAAAGCCCCACAGGGCAGGAAAAGTCAACCCTATCCTCACGCTCTGTCTCTGCACTGATCCAGGTACGACATTGCCCTGGTCAAACTGGCTGACCCCGTCTCCTTCACCGACAAGATCCAGCTGGCCTGCCTCCCTCCTGCCGGCCGTCACGGGCTGGGGAAGGCTGCGGAGTAAGTGGGAGCCAGGAGCCCCCAGGCCTGGGAGGGAAGGGAGGTGATGTCACCCCTGTCTGGCCAGGGCCTCTCACCTGTCATCCCAGGGTGTGTGACTGCCTGGGAGAGACGGGATGGCATAGGCTGATGCCTGCCTGGGTTCAAATGTCAGCTCTCCCACTACATGACTGTCACACCTTGGGCACATTACTAGGTCTCTCCATGCAGCACTTTTATCATATGTAAAATGCAAATAATTGGCTGGGCGCCGTGGCTCACGCCTGTAATCCCAGCACTTTGGGAGGCCTGGCGGGCGGATCACTTGAGGTCAGGGGACCAGCCTGACTGACATGGAGAAACCCCGTCTCTACTAAAAATATTTTTAAAATAGCAGGGCGTGGTGGTGTGCTCCTGTAGTCCCAGCTACTCAGGAGGCTGAGGCAAGAGAATCGCTTGAACCCGGGAGGTGGAGGTTGCAGTGAGCCAAGATTTCGCTACTGCACTCCAGCCTGGGGGACAGAGCGAGACTGTGTCTCCAAAAAAAAAAAAAAAACGGGCATAATAATAGCATCTACAGCACAGAGTTGGCAAGAGGATTAAAGGAGATAATCCATAGGAAGCCTGGTGTGTGGTAGGTGCTGTGTGTTGGTTGTTGTCACTGTCCCTATGATGGAAAGAAAGTTACAGAGACCATGTGACATCTTCTGTGTGGCCCATAGAGTTCAGAGTTTTCCTCTGTGACCTGAGGCCCTGGAGCCCTCATCGGAGCCGCTGTGTCCCATAGCAAAAGCTGTCCCCTGTGCCATTCGGTCTTGCTGCTCAGAACCTGGCTGAGGGCGGGTCTCCTTTGACATAGACTGCAGGGGTTAGAGATCCAATGACCGTAGCCACCAAGAGGAACGGAGTTCCCGCCCTTCCCTTGTGAAATCACCATAAATGACATTATGAGTGATAACGACATTATGACATTTCTCCCTAATGACATAAACCCATAAGTATAATGACATGTTTTTCCAGGGCACATCCACATACGTACCCTCCAATAAATCCCCATTGCCCTCCTGACTGGCTTATCTGTAAACACAAGGACAATAAATCCCCATTGCCCTCCTGACTGGCTTATCTGTAAACACAAGGACACATGAAATCCTGTGGTGAGCGGTGGTGGAAGAGGCATTTCATGCTTATTAAGATAGAAGCACAACCACCTGTTTGTTTCCCCAGACAACCCTGGGGCAGATGCAGTTCATCTGAGACAGTGGGAGTGGGGAGGCATCCAAATGCTTGGCTTTTAGGCCCAGCTCTGCCGGTCACGGTGAAACCTTGGGCAAGTCACTTCCGAACCTCAGTTTCCTCATCTGTAAAATGGAAACACTGTTGGTGAAGACCAAAAGAGGGGAAAGGTGAAAATGCGTCCTACATTGCAAAATGTTATACAAGTGTTAATTACTTAGTGGTCTTAAGCCAGACCCTTAACTTCCTTTTTTATTTATTTATTTATTTATTTATTTATTTTGAGACAGAGTCTTGCTCTGTTGACCTGGCTGGAGTGCAGTGGTGCAATCTCGGCTCACTGCAACCTCTGCCTCCCAAGCTCAAGCGATTCTCCTGCCTCAGCCCCCCAAGTAGCTGGAATTATAGCTGGATGCCACCACGCCCGGCTAATTTTTGTATTTTAGTCGATACAGGATTTCACCATGTTGATCAGGCTGGTCTCAAACTCTAGACCTCAAGGGATCCACCCGCCTTGGCCTCCCTAAGTGCTGGGATTAGAGGGTAAGCTGCTGCGCCTGGTCGACCCTTAACTTCCCTAGGCTTCAATCGATAGTGAAGAATTATGTTAAGCTCATCCTTGCCACTCATAGCTGTGGTAACAGTAATGCAGGGGATGGTGGCTGTGTCATTGGGGGCCATTATGAAAGCCCTCTCTTCACCACACCAGCATATTTTTCCCAAGGAGGCGGCTCTAACTGCCAGGAGGCTCACTTTCCTATTTCAGATAAGTGAAGAAAGTCATGGTGTTAGCTTACCATAAAAAGGGATTGTTATAAGTATTTAAAAGTTTCAACCCAAGGGCCGAAATATAGCCAGGCATCAGGAGCAGGCTAGGATTAGGGACTGGAAGCCTGTCAGAAACTCAGGAAACCCTCCCTTGTAATTTCTTTTCTTTGTGAATCTACTTCATTCTCCACATAAAACAAAACATCAGTCATTACCAAAAGCTTCCCAGATTTACGTCCTCTGAAACCGGAATCTCTTAGACCCCATCTCAGGATCCCATGTGAGGGAGCTCATTGGCTTAGCTTGAGTCAGGTGTTCACTGCTGAACCAATCAACGGTGAGGACACAGTATAGAGAAACATAGCTGTTCGCATATTGCAATGGATGGAAGACAGTAATGGGAAACCCAGTAAGGGTCAACCACTTCCTTTTTCTCAGGAGTCCTTGCATCCCTAATACCTTCTTTCTGATCTCATTCAGCCGACGGGCCTGCTTCTGATGTCCTGCAGCAGGGTCGGTTGCTGGTTGTGGAGTATGACACCTGCTCCAACCCTGACTGGTGGGGCAGCACCGTGAAAACCAGTATGATCTGTGCTGGGGGTGATGGCGTGACCTCCAGCTGCTACGTGAGTACCAAAATCAGGGGCTCCCCGCTCAGTGACAAAATGTGGCTGGGGATAAGGTTATAGAGGTCCACCCCTCCATAGGTCCATCCTCCCGCCTCCTGGCAGAAGTACCCAGAAATATGTTCCAGATATATCAGAATCCGATCTTTGGCCAGGCACGGTGGCTCTTGCCTGTACCCCATCACTTTGGGAGGCCAAGGCAGGCAGACCAGTTGAGGTCAGCAGTTCGAAACCAGCCTGGCCAACGTGGTGAAACCTTGTCTCTACTAAAAATACAAAAATTAGCTGGGCGTGGTGGCGGGCACCTGTAGTCACAGTTACTCAGGAGGCTGAAGCAGGAGAATCACTTGAACCCATGAGGCACAGGTTGCAGTGAACTCAGGTCACACCACTGCAATCCAGTTGGGGTGACAGAGTGAAACTCAAAAAAAAAAAAAACAAACAAACAAAAAAAAAACTTGATCTTGGATCTTGTTTGTTCTTGTTTTGAGATTCTCCTTGTCGTGTCTACCCCTCTCACTGCTGGGAAGTCCTTCCCTGGGTCTCATCAAGGTCTCTCGTGACTGTCATTCCGTATCCTTTCCTCTATGCTGGAAGGGAACCAAAGGAAAGTATTCCCTGG